CCCTGCTCCTGCCCCCTCCTCCGGCGTGGGTGAGAGCAGCGCCGGTCTGGGGCAGGGCGCGGGGCAGGGGCTGCATGGTCTTTAACTTGCCAGCAGTGACCGGGGCCAGCGGCCGAAGGGCGTCGGCCTAAGGGTGGTGACGCCATTTGGGACTGTTCAGGGCCAAGCGGGGGCTGGGCTGGCCAGGGTCTTTGTTGTTGGTTGGCAGGTGGGATTGGTCAAAGTGGGCGACGGGGATTGTGGGTGTGTTTTTAAGTGTTTTAATGTGTTTTTAGTTGATTTAATGGATTCATCTCTGGCTTTGAGTATGGGGTTGCCTGGGGAGTGCGTGGACGCCACCATTGGGGTGGTCATGGGCAATGGACGTTATGGCGTTGGGGGGGGTCTAACGTGTCCGCGTAGAAGAAGGAGGGACAGATGGCTAGCACCTGTTCCCCTTTCTGGTTATTCCCCCAGCCTGAGGGTTCCAGGTGGTCCTGTCAACCGCCCCCCGGGCCTGTCAGTGCTGCTGCTTAATGCCAGGTCGGTCCACAATAAATCTTGCCTCATCCATGACTAGATTGTGGATGAGGGGGCTGACCTGGCTTGCATAACAGAGACCTGGGTGGGAGGGGGGATGTCTCCCTCTCTCAAATGTGCCCGCCCAGGTACCTGGTCCAGCACCGACCACGCCTGGAGGGGAGGGGAGGGGGGTCGCTTTGGTTTACTGAGCCTCTATTTCCCTCACGGGGCTTCCTGTTCTCTTGAGGCCGGGTCTAGAGTGCCTCTACTTGGTGTTGGGCGACCGAGACAGATTGGGGATTCTGTTGGTGTACCATGCACCCTTCTGCCCAACAGACTCCCTGTCTGAGCTGATGGAGATCGTCTCGGACTTGGTGTTGAAGACTCCCAGGATGTTGGTCCTGGGGGATTTCAATCTCCCCGCCAAGACTGTTCTGACCAGGGCGGCTCAGGACTTCATGGCCTTCATGATGGCCATGGGGCTGTCTCAGCATGTCACTGGCCCGACCCATAAATGTGGGCACACTCTGCACCTGGTTTTCTCGATGGGACAGGAAGAGGGGGATCTGAGGGTGAGGAACTTGTGTCTGACACCCCTGTCATGGTCAGATCACTTCCTTGTGAGGTTTGAGCTCGAGAGTGGCCTTTCCCTCTGTAAGGGTGCGGACCCTATTGTGTTGGTCTGTCCCCGGAGCCGGATGGATCTGGATGGATTCCTGAAGGCCCTGGGGGAATTCCCGGTTGATAAGGCTGGTGCTCCTGTTGATGCCTTGGTCAAACTGTGGAATGGGGAAATGACCAGGGCTATTGACACGATTGCTCCTAAGCGTCCTCTCCCGCCTGGCAGAGCTTGTTCATCCCCCTGGTATACACCCGAGCTATGGGTGATGAAGCGGGTTGGGAGACATCTAGAGCGTAGGTGGAGGAAATCACGGGATGAATCTGACCGAACACACTTAAGAGCCCATTATCGGGCCTATGCTGTGGCGGTGAGGGTGGCAAAGAAGAAATTCTTCTTCGCTTCCATTGCCTCTTCACAATGCCGTCTGGCAGAACTCTTTCAGGTGGTACAGGGGCTGGTTCATCCAGGCCCAAAAAAAGATCCTGTGCCACCCTCGACGGCCCACTGTGACAACTTTGCCCAGCACTTTAAGGAGAAAATCGCTCAGATTCATCACGAGCTGGACTCCACTAGTGATTCAGATCCCCTAGGGGAGATGCCAGTGTCTCCGTCTGGTCCACAATTGATGGATGAATTTCAGTTATTGCGGCCTAATGATGTGGACAAGGTGCTTGGACAAGTACGTCCTACCACCTGCTTACTGGAACCTTGCCCATCTTGGCTACTCAAGAAAGCCAAGGACAGGATAGGGACCTGGATCCTGGAGGTTGTCAACGCCTCTCGAAGGGACGGCTGGGTACCTGCCCCTTTAAAGGAGGCGGTAGTCCGGCCAGTCCTAAAGAAGGCATCCCTGGATCCAGAGGTGGCCGCCAGTTATAGACCGGTGGCCAACATCCCATTCTTGGGCAAGGTGGTAGAGCGGGTGGTGGCGGGACAACTCCAAGCACTCTTGGATGAAACTGATTATCTGGACCCATTTCAGTCCAGCTTCAGATCTGGGTATGGTACTGAATCGGCCTTGGTCGCCCTGTACGATGACCTGTGCAGGGAGAGAGACAGGGGGAGTGCGTCCCTGTTGGTTCTTCTGCACCTCTCAGTGGCTTTCGATACCATCGGCCATGGTATCCTTCTGGATAGGCTAGCAGGATTGGGAGCTGGAGGCACTGCTTTGCAGTGGTTCCGCTCCTATCTCAATGACTGATTCCAGAAGGTGGCGCTGGGGGATTATGGCTCTGCACCATGGCAGTTATGCCATGGAGTTCCACAGGGGTCCATTTTGTCCCCCTTGCTATTCAACATCTGCATGAAACCGCTGGGAGAGGTCATTAGGAGATGTGGGCTGCGGAATCATCAGTATGCTGATGATACCCAGCTCTATCTCTCATTTTCAACCAATCCAGGTGAGGCAGTGGCTGTACTGAACCGGTGCCTGGCCGAGGTAATGGGCTGGATGAGGGCCAATAAACTGAAGCTCAATCCAGACAAGATGGAGGTCCTGTTGGTAGGTGGTTCGGGCTTCGGGGTGGGGGACCTGGACCTTGTCCTGAATGGGGTTGCACTCCCTCTTAGGGACAAGGTTTGCAGCTTGGGAGTGCTCCTCGACCCTGAGCTGTCATTAGAAGCTCAAGTGACGGTGGTGGCGAGGAGCACTTTCCTTCAGCTTTGGCTGATCCATCAGCTGCATCCCTACCTGGAGAACGATTGCCTGGCAACAGTGACACATGCACTGGTAACTTCCCAATTAGACTTCTGTAACGCGCTCTATGTGGGGCTACCCTTGAAGATGGTCCGGATACTTCAATTGGTGCAAAACAGAGCTGCCAGGTTGCTGACGGGGACTGGCTGTTGTTCTTATATAACCCCAGTTCTCCATCAGCTTCACTGGTTCCCCATTGAAGTCCGGGCCCAATTCAAGGTGTTGGTTATCACCTATAAAGCCCTCAACAGCTTGGCACCTGGTTATCTAAAGGAACGCTTGCGTCCATATATGCCCTCCCGCCCCTTGAGATCGGCAGCAGAGGCCCTTCTCTGGGAACCCTCCGTGAAAGATATTAGGAGGGTGAGTACCTGGAGGAGGGCCTTCTCTGCGGTGGTGCCCCACCTATGGAATGCGCTCCCCGGAGAGGTCCGCCTGGTGCCGTCGTTATTTGTTTTTCAACGCCAGGCCAAGACCTTTTTATTTAAAATTATTTTAATTGTTAATTTATGAATTGTATTTATGGGGTTTTTATGTACATGCCGAGATGTTTCCGGTTTTTTAACTCTTAATTATATAACTGTTTATTTATGTTTATTTATTAATGTTGTAAGCCGCCCCAAAGCTTTTTGCGATTGGGGCGGCATAAAAATGGTTTAAATAAATAAATAAATTTGTATATCTTATCTCCACTCACTATACTTCTAAGCTAAACAGCTCCAAATGTTCAAGCCTTTCCTCATAAGGGAGTTGCTCCAGCCTGTTGATCATTCTAGTTGCCCTTTTCTGAACCTTTTCCAGCTCTACAATATCCCCTTTTTAAGTGAGAAGACCAGAACTGTATATAATATTCTAAGTGGGATTGCACCAAAGATTTGTATAAGGTCAGCATGATACTGGCAGTTTTATTTTCAACTCCTTTCCTAGTTATGCCTAGTGTGGAGTTTGCTTTTTTCACAGTTACCACACAATGAGTTGACATTTTCATTGAGCTGTCCACTACTGAAAGCCCAGGATCTTTTTCTCAATCAGTCACTGGTAGCTCTGATCCAATCTGCTTATACTTGTATTTGCACTCTCCCTGAAAGACCAAGTATGTTGTTTGGAGGTGCTCCTACATTCTCATGCTAACAGGGAAGTTCAGGGGGGCAGTTGTTTACCAGTTTTGACCTTGTCTGGAGAGGGAGAAGTTTGGCTCAAGTTATTCGCACTTTGATGACATCCACGTTGGACTACTGAAATACACTGTCGGGGGGGGGGTGCAGGGGGAACTGGCTTGAAAAAATTGTGAAAGCGTCAAGCCTAAATCTGGACATAATCCAGTACCTCTCCAAATTCTTGATGAGACTCATTCTTGATGGAAAAGTCTTAGATTTGCTCCTAGTGGAGGCATAGAAAGCTTTGTTACTTCATTAACAGAGCTGGGTGATCTATTTACATGAACTGTAAATATTCTAATGTGACAGATGGATGTATACTTTTTGTTCTTAGCATATAGTTTGGTGAAGGTGGATAGAGCCAATTATTCTATCCACCATATAGAATATGGCCATTTTGAAGTGAACAAGCTGCCACAAGGTGGTGGAGGTGGGAGTCAGTTGTCTGAATGGTCTCATCACTGCAGACACACATGAAGAGTGTGGCTCACCATTTCCTCAAAAAACGAAGAAATGTTGATTGAACTGAGAGATAGTAAGAAACAATCAAGAATAGAAATAACCATCCTGTATGATCATGTAACTTTAGGTACCATGTCAAAAACAAAAAGATTTCACCATTCCAGGTGGTAGTGTGGCCATCACATGTATAGAACTATGGAGCACTGTTTTATTAAAAAATTAATCTTACAAAATGACCCCACAGGCCACTGTATACAGAGCAGCTTTACACTTTAGACTTAATCAAGTGCATCACCCTAGTCAAGGTGATGTCCTTTGTTGGCCTAAGGCTGCCCATAACTACACATCAGACATCTATAGCAGCCTTTACTACAAACCCATCAGCCTGAAATGTGATCTTCTACTATCATATAAATGTGATAGTAGATCACATAATGTGAGCTTTACTATCTCTGAGAATTAATTACCAAAAACACACTTATGTAATGTGTGGATCAGGGCCAGTCAGTTACAGCTTCTTTCAGTATATCACTGAAATCTAAAGAAATAGTGTCCAAAGAAAATGATTTAATATTTCATCTTAAATAACATGACAAGTCAACTTATGAACATTTACACCCATTAAATGTTATACTTTACAGTCTATTATTTATTCAGTTCTACAATACAAAGGTAGTGCATGTGTATGAAGGTCACCCCCCCCACCGCAAATTTAGAACACCTTGACACAGACATTTAAAGCAAAGTGGAGGTGCAAAACTAACAGGATATACAAATAAAAAGGGTTTTAAATAAATACTTAAACTATGGTCTGTGTCATACTAATTTCTTAAAGGTATAAATACATGATACAAAATTAATTTCTAACAAGTATTTTTCTCCATACATTTTTGTGTTAACTGAGATACTTTGCTTTTAGAAAACAGAAAAGTGCATATTTTAGAGAAACAGTATTAAGTATTTACATATATAGTTTTGAATGGTTGAAGAATATAGATATATAAGTTAAGAACACGGACAAACCAAATAAAAATATACAATAAATAATTCAGCATTCTTATGAACCGGACAATACTGGGGAGGCTAAAAAGTGGCATTTTAATGTGAACCTAACGAATTTCACATTTTTGATCATCTGTATGAGCCAATACTCAGTTATCCTTGAAAACTTGGAGTTCTCTAAATTTTATGGTGGAGTTTGCCAATTAAAATGCATTCACATGAATTAGGGGAAATAACATAAGATGATGATGCTGATGCTGATGATGGCAGCAAAAATGTGTATTGGGCAACATTTCATACAGAAATGTATGTATTAGGAAAAGTGTACATGAAAATGCATATGGATTTTCATGCAAACTTTTAAAAAATAAAAATACTCAAAGCTCAGGTGAAACTGAGCTTAAGATCAGAAAAATGAGAAGCAGAGAGAAACCAAAATTGACAGTTCATCCATCCCTGATATGTAAATGCATGGATAAGGTATCTGAGCAATCACATGCTTAAAGAGTTGTTGATGGATGGTTTCCCTGGCTCTGCAATTGGGTACTTTACTTGCAAAACAGTCAATATATACTTGTACAAAATTTGTTAAATGCTTGGTCCTATTCCTGTGAGCTGAGATACTGTTCACATTCAGGGTCGCCTATCATTTCAAGAGATCCAGGAATTCTCTTCCCATTTTTTGGGTAGACACACCAGCATCTTGCAGGATTTCCATCAAGAGAACTTTCACACTAAAAGATGTTTTATAAAATGAACATTTAGACAACTATAAAAATATTTAAAATATGTAACAAGGAGCAGGTTAGCCATTGGAAAACAACTTGTTATTTGCACCACACCTCATAGAACCACTAACCACATTTTAAAACTTTATAGATTTTGGTCCTTTTCACCTCAGCTGGACTTCAGCTGTACTGTTGCCAAGCAGACCTTGAAATCTGATTGATAATTTCTGTTGATCCATTTCTCCAAAGAAGACAACTCTTTGGGTCCACCAACACCACCACCCTGCTTGTCTGGACAAATTTAAGAATAATTGCACCGGTGACTAGAAGGCAGGGGTGTGGTGGATTTAAGGTACATCACTCAAAGGGAGATTTTATGTGGATTTCAAAATAAGTGCTCAGGGACAAAGCATCTTATATTAATGTACATTCATGCTCCTTAGATCCCCATGGGATTGAGATTTTGCATTAAAACAAAATATCTGCTCCCTGTGCACCTTGTTTTAAATACAGCTTTTTTCTAGCCACTACATACCATTAAATCTGGTGACAGGACAAAGGAAATTTGGCAGTGGCAGGGTTCACAAAAAAGGATGCAGGGCCTGTGGGCTGCATGTCATCCACCCCATTTATAAGTGAATAGATCAAATATTCATTTCTGTAGCACAAGGATAATCACCCTCAGCGCCTACCACAAAATTACCTGCTTGCTATGGTAAAATCCATTCTTATTACAGTTGGGTAAATAGAAATGGTATATCTCGCCTCCTGTTCTCTGTTGAGCTCTTGTTAACTTATCTAGTGCTCTGTAGAGTTCTCTTTTGCATGGCCCCTGGAAAAACAATGTTTAAACAAATGTAAATAAAAAGGTAAAGGTTTCCCCTTAAGTACAGTCTTGTCTGACTCTAGGGGGTGGTGCTCATCTCTGATTCCTAGCTGAGGGAATGAGCTGTTTGTCCGCAGACAGTTTTCGTGGTCATGTGGCCAGCTTGACTAAACACCAAAGTGCACGGAATGCTGTTACCTTCCCACCCAACTGGTACCTTTTTATCTACTTGCATTTACATGCTTTCGAACTGCAAGGCTGGCAGGAGCTGGGATGGAGCAATAGAAATTCACCCTGTTGTGCAGATTTGAACCGGTGACCTTTCGGTCAACCAGCCCAGCAGCGCAGCAGTTTAAACCACTGCACCACCTGCAAATACACCAAATATTCAAATATAAGAATCAATATACATGTCAGTTATAAAGACAACTGGAGAAAATACTATGTTAATATGGTAACAATATTCTTTAGTGCTTAGCATCCATTTAAACTAAAGTAGTTCCTACTTATTGTAAGACTGTGTGGTCCCACATTAACATTTTTGTGTAAGGCCTTCAATCTGCATGTTTAATGCTGTAATCCTTAAGCACAATGAGGCTTACATCTAAATAAATAAGCATATGGTTTTACTGTACATAACACTATTCAATCTTTTATCTAAGAACACAGTGTGGAGAAAGATCTGTACTTCTCTTTCAGACAAAGGCAGGAGAATCTGTTGTTAGGTTCTCAGCGCAAGGGTCATTGTCAAAAATAGATGTAAATAATCCATGATGCTTTATTATTTATTAGATTTGGGAATGATGTCTGGGACTTTCTCTGCATATGGAAACACTTGAAACCTTTTCAACTTCACTCTTTTGGTTTTTATTGTGTTTTTAATGTTTTACTAAGCTTTTATGTGAAGTCTTTTATCTTTTAAGTTGTTTGTGAACTCTCTTGGTTGGTCTCAGAAAGGTGGCAGAGATATATAGCATAAATAAATAAAGAGCATGGCAAATTATCTAAAAAATTCATTAAATTCTGCTGTTCTGGTTAAATATTTCACTTTTTATTCTTTGGTGCCCTCAAGTGGTTCTTCTATGTAGTTACACGCCCATATCAGAAAATTGTCCCATCTCAAGTGCATAATAATATTATTATAAGGTGGCTGGATGGAGTCACTGAAGCAGTCGGTGTTAGCTTAAGTGGACTCCGGGGGATGGGGGAGGACAGGAGGGCCTGGGGGAATGTTGTCCTTGGGGTCGCGATGGGTTAGACGCAACTTCGCGACTAACAACAACAACAAAGATGGGCATAAGAATATGCATCACTTTATTTGTCAACACTTAGTGCTTCACAGCTGACTGTGGACTGACTCCATTGAAAAGCATTGAGTATGAGTAATTGGAACTTTATTACTGTGGTATCACTGAAAGGGTCCACTGAGCATTCAAAAAAATGGCTCACTTGCTCAAGCAAGAGAAGGAGAACCACAAACTGTTTCCCAGTACCTGGCAAGGAAGAGAGCCTTAGCCTGCTGGTCTCTTCTGGACAGAGCTTGAGCTAGAGGGCCCCCCACATGGTAGACAAGTCCTACAATTTCCCCCAAAGATGGATGTTGAGCCCACCCAGAAACCTTGGGGCAGCTAGATATGAATGTATGAGGTTTCTGACTGGGGGATGAAAATCCAATAGATTTTATCTACCTGGCCCCATAGATTCTGTTCCATGAATGCTCTGTTGGTGCAAGTTGAGCCAGCATACAGCCTTCTGTTTTGAAAACAGGCTATGATGCATGCATGTGTGTATTGTGGGAAACTTGTGCAAAATTTGGGCCTCTACTCTGCAGTTTGCACAATGTGTGAACTTATACAAATTTGTGCAATCTGAGGAGCAGAGGCTTGCATTTTGCTCAAATTAACTGCCAGAAAATTAAAGGTGGAATGTGTGCCTATGCAGTCAGAGGAGGATGCTTCTATACTTTGCATGTTAAATGCTTCAAGAACAAACCTTCCTCCAATCTAGAGAGTCAACCCTGATTTGTGCAAACCATTATTTGCACAAATTGCACTAGAATTAAGCAGTTATTTGATAAAGTATGAAAGCTCAAATGGAGCAAGTATTCCAGTGTTATACAACCCTAAGCAGAGGAGCCAGAGGTAGCCCTGCTGCTGGCCCCAGCAGGAGCTGAGCCCATATCCCTGCTCCTCAGCCACAGGCTCTCTGCCAAATAAAAAGATTAACATGTTGTTGCAAGGTGGTTATGAGGATTGCTAAAAGACTGGGTTGGATTCAGACATAGTTGAGCTTAGAGTAGATGCACTGCAGTCAATTGGCTGGTCATGACTAAGGTAAGTCAATTAAATTAAATTAAATTGATTTAATGTAGGAATGGACAAATTCAGAAGTAATGAGGAACCCCTAGGGGCCTTGCACAGCTGAAATTCAGCAGCAGCAAAACAGTCAGCAGTCTCTAGGCAAACGTCAGAAACAAACCACAATGATGGCCCAAAAAGACCAAATTTCTCTTTAGGCGAGAATCATTTTGCTAATTGTTCTGCCACTTCTACCACTGTAGCAATAAATTTGTTGAGGGCTGGTGGGGGTTGGCGTTAAGGCCAACGAAGCTGCATGTGTTTGTGGTCTGCATGTTACCCAACCTTGAATGGGTATACTCTAAGTATGACTAAATCTGAATTCCACCCAATGTATTCAAAATGTTTTGAACACTCCCAAAATCCTATAAAAAGGGTGAGTGTTAGTATGAGCCAGGAACTCGATGCTGAAGAGGGATTAGTAATTTGTTGGCACTAAAGGTATGCTGTACAATTTCAGCTAATAGGAAGCAGATGGAATGGAGATACTGAACTTTAACTAAGTGTGAAGTCACTTGCCCACAGCTAGTTAGTTGTGACCAAGAACTAAACATGTAGTCAAGAAATGCCTGCTGATAAAAACTTGACTAACATCTATTGACACTTTATTTATTTGTTCTTGTTGTATTCTACTCTTTCTCCCAGGAGCTCAAGTGTGGCATTTTTGTCTTACAAGGACCTTATGAGACAGACAAAGTTATAATATAGTGAATCGATGCACTGAACCTCATGATTGGGCAGCCATATAAGCTGAAGTTTACCATGGTCAAACTGAATGTGCTAGCCACTTTCAGCATCCTGATTGATTAGTTAATCTCAGGTCAGTGTGTACAACAGCCTATGCAGCCCCAGTTAAATGTGCAGACATGAGGCAACCTGACATGCCTGCTGGGGGAGACTCACCTGTTCCTTCCACTTCTTAAGTTCAGCAAGTTCCTTTGTTTTCATGCTTTCAGAGGCACTGATTTCATTCCAAGGGACAGACTTGTCTTGGTCCTCAGGAAGCATCAGCTGATAGTGGAACAATTGATCGGCATTATTTTCAGCATCTTCAGAGGGAATGCCTTCAGGTTCCATAGACTCTGAAAGGGAACAATCAAGAAAATAATCTATGATATATAGAGGAAAATCATTCTGCACAAGCTATATTGAAATGAATGGGAGCTGCAGAAGGGCACAGTTACTATATACCAGTAGTAACCATCATGTTTCAATGAAAAATGAGTTTATCTATAGAAGGCTTATGGCTTTATCAGAAAAGCCAGTATATGTATCTTATCAGTGTATGGGCAATGCCTGGTGAAATGTCAGAAGCCAAAGGGGCTACTGAGTCAGATTTCCAATGGCCAGAAGGCTGAGAATCCATATAGTGATCGATAAAAATATTTTTTCCCTCCCCATGACTAGCAAAAGCAAATATAACTTTTGAAAAATAGAGTTTAAAAGTAGAAAACTGTTAAGTATGATCAATCATATGGCATACTGTAATGGCTAGATAAGCCTTCTCTAGATTGGTGTCTTCCAGGTTTTTCAACTTCCCAGTCAGTATAGCCAGTGGTCAGGAACTGAGAGTTGTAAACTAAAATGTCTGGTTGGCACTAGTCTGAATGAGTCTGAATTAGCGCATGGGACTAGGACTGGGAAGACTTAGGTTCTAGTCCCCAGTCACTTATGAAGCTATTTGGCAAACTTACACCATTCACTGGGCACATTTTGCCCTTCATGCCAACCTAACCTGCCTCTAAGCCTTGGTTGTACAAACAATCCATGGTGGGCCCAAAAGATAATCAGTCTCACCATGGCTTGTTAAGTCCTCTCACTCTCCTTCCCCAGCAACATATCTGCCAAACCTTGCCCCCCGCTCCAATTTTATCAAGTGTGTGTGTTTAATTTTTACTTGAACAACTGTGGACATCCAGAGTTGTACAGGTGTGGGAATGGGAAAGGCTAGGGTGGGCAATATCCAGGGTGGTACCTGCTTAGACAGTTGAGCAGGGGCTCACCTGAGGCATTGCTTCATGGACGCAATGCTTATTTTTCCTTTTGGTTCCATCTGATAGCTGTCAAATGAGCTGTCAGATTTAACAAAAAGTGTCACAGATCTTAGCTCTGGAAAATGGGATGATATGTTGCTCCCCCATTGCATTAAGATTCTTCTGTTTGTTTATATTTTGGGGGTTTTGGGGGAGGGTCATGTGTCCTGAAAGTGCCCTCAATATTTTATTACCTTGAGAGCAGGCAAAAATGTGAGTCATCTTTTTCACAGGAGTATTTAATTTTGACAGTCATATAAAGTGGGATTTTAAAAAAGGATAAAAATTGGGAGGGGGCAGGAAACTGTATAGGTGCATAATCTCTATTGGTATAGTTTTCTGCCAAGAAAAATTACATACACTCTCACACACACACGGTTGGCTAGCATGAGCAGAGACAATAAAGTGGTCAGATTAAAAAATAACAACAATAATTGGAGCCAAGGTTCCATTTGGATGCCAGGAAGCACTTCCTGACAGTCAGGACCCTGAGGGTGTGGAATGGGCTTCCCCGGGAGGTGGTTGAGGCCCCATCGGTGCGGGTGTTCAAGGATAGGCTGGACATGCACATGGTGGGCATGTCGTGAGCAGAGCCAGCTGGAGCCGGAGGTCAGACTAGATGGCCCGGGAGGCCCCTTCTGACTTGCTCTGTTTTCTATGTTTCTATGTTTTCTATGTTTCTATAATATAGACAGAACAGATACTGATGATACCCAGAGACCCATTTCCAGAGGAATGTAAAAGCATGTGGCTGTTTAAGAATGGGAACAGGGACATGTTTGAACACATCTTCTAGCAACAATAATTTCAGTTGTGCTAGAACACGATGATTAAAGATCATAAAGAAGTGAATCATTACAGCTTTGGTTGCAGTGTATATCTAAAAATATAATGTCCAAATATGGCGAATGCATGCCTGGAGGACAATTGCAGTAGAGCTCTAAGAACCATGAGAGCTTGATGAAGGTGACTATTGTGGGTGGTAATTTATGGATCTATTTTCTTTGATGACATCTTGAAGTATAACATTTTTTGTAATCTATAGTGCTGTATCTCTGTTGAGCAATGCTTAAATACAAATTGTAGTGAATCCCATTATCTTAAAGCTTAAGCAACACAATTAACAATATATTTCCTCCTAAAAGTCATTGGATATGTGAGAACAGAAAAGAAACCTGCAAGGAATACCACTGCTAAACAAATTTACAATCAGGATTTCACAGGTATTTTAAATCAGTTGCACATCTGGCTTCCTTTAAAACATTTAACTTTTGGCTTACTCTTAACAAAATGAAAAAAATAGTTCCATAGAATTCCATCTATTCTTGACTGAGCTGCAGTTCTTCCAGTATTAACATAGTTTGTTAACCCAAAATGTTTAAGACAGATGTTCAGAAATTACCATTTTTTCTTTTCTCCTCACAGCAACAGTGACAGTAAGCACAGGACTGTCCCCAGCATGGGTCCATCTGAATGATAAATATTTGCACTGACTTCCAAAAGCATATCCCTGGAGCTATGGACAGTTGCTTTAGAGGCATACCTAATTGTTGGGACAGCAGATGGAGAATCTAATAAAAATGCTTTCAGTCCCTTTTCCTTATTTCATCAGGAGCGTTGTGACCAATTTAAAATGCTCCTAACTCCCCTCTGCTTTTAACAATAGCTGCCTGAGAAGGAAAATTTTAAGTGATGGGGGTTTGTATGAGCATGAGGCACGTGGGAGAATTCCTGTTTGTCAGACTGCTGCAAAGGCACATGAGTGACAAAAGAAAAATAGAGAAATCACAATTTCCCTTTCGTTCTCGTTCCCTGAAACATTTACAGCAAGAGTCTTTCATTTGGCGGCTGCCAGGAGGTGGGTGGGGTAAGTTCCTTACAGGCTCTCTTCCTAGCGCACTCAAATGTCTTCCCACAGCCCTCTTTGCTTCCACCTCAGCCTGCCAGCAGGGGTGGGGGGGGGGGGGGGGGAGAGAGAGAGAGAGAGAGAGAGAGCGAGAGCGAGAGCGCGCGCGCGCCTTGGGCTCACTCATGTAGCAGTTCTCTATGGTCTCAAGGAGAGGTCACCCTGACCCAGCCCTGCTGCGGTAGAGACAGGATGCCAAAGATTGAACCAGGAGCTTTCAACCTGCAGAGCATGCCCCGGAGTGCAGTGGGTCCAGCCTCTCCTTGTTGAAGCACAGCTTTTGGATCGACCAGGTAGCCTCGTGAAGCTGCAGGGATATTTCCCACAAAACTCCTGCACAGGCTGCTTGCTGAAGAGAAGGCCAAATACTGAGGCAACTTACCCTTTTGCCCCTGGTGTTCCCTCATACTGGCCATTATGGGACTAGGACTCACTTTTCCCACAAGTCCTAGGCTTTTGAAAAGACAGACCACTGGGCATATTAGAAAAGCATGAGATATTTACCTGAAGTCTCTGTTGTGTCGGCCGTAGGTTGGCAGGTGCCTTGCCCATGGGTGAGAGCATAGAGGGGGCGGCCTTCTCCTGGGTGCACCTGGCAGCTGAGCCCATGGCCACAGCGTGCTGTGTATACTCCACAAGACTCCCCCAGCTGAAGGGCGCACGTGTGGCAGCAGCTGCAGCCGGCCTGCTGCGCTGTTTCGAGACACCCAGCAGGCACTGGCGGGCATAGTGCAAGCTTCTCTTCAGTGCATGGTGCACAGTGCATTGCATGGAGGGCAGCCCCCACAACAAGGCCTGGGGAGAGCAGGAAGAGCAGCAGCTCACAGAAGAGGCTTGTAGGATGCATGATGGATGCAGGCTGGAGCCAGCCAAGTCTGGGGAGGAAGTACCAGTCCCTCTACCCACGTTCAGTTAGTCCTCTCTTCCCACTGGCCAGGCATTTATACAGTTCCTTGTCAGCCTGTTAATCTTCAACCCCACGTTAACAATTATCTGAGCAGGAGGGACAGAAAAGCATCATTTCATTGGTAGCTTGTGTCCCTCCCCTTTTATTATTATTATTCTTTCTTAATAACAAAGCAATTCATCACTATCCTACTCATTCTTAACCTTTTCATGACAGTTTTAAAGATGTCCATAGAAGAAGATCTTTCACCCCCACCCTGTCTTTAAAATCTCCCCCTTTATAGACAACTCATAAAATATTTGATTGAGAAAGTGAAGAGGAGGAGAGAAGAACCCCACTGAAATCTCAGCAGCTGACTTCATACTTCCACAACAACAGATGAAAAAACCTCTTGCTTAATTTTTGTCATGTGGTTGGAGGTTATTAGGACAATGACATACTGGAAGAGGCCCCCAGAGTGTAATCAAAGCTCCTTAGATCCGGTAAGTCCTGAACACAGCACGTAGGAGCTAATGTCAATAGTTCATTTACAGGGATTGTTTGGGACTGTTTCCTGTGGATGTGCTTTTGCTAAAACAGAGCTCAAACACCACACCCCAATACCATTCGGAAAGGATAGGGGTTCCATGAAAACAAAGGGAAGGAGAAATCTTTCTCACATCCTTATCAGAGTAGCTGTTGTAAAATAGATATCTATAAATAGTTATACAGACGTATGTTAAAATCAGTGTATAAAGTTTGTATCTTATACACGCTGACCTGAGAGTAAATGCCATTAAGGCCAGTGGGACTTACTTTTAACCTGATTTGTATTATACCAGGCTAGAAATTTATGTGGTGCTGCTATTAAGGGAAAAAGAATCTGACTAGCTGCCAAGGCTCAAGGCAATGTACAGGTTATAAAATGATTTAAAAAGCAATTCAAAGCATTAAAACGGTAAAAATGCAGGCACCATTAACTATCAAAACATTTGAAAATAGATAACAAAACAAAACAACGCCCAGCAGCATTAAATGTTAAACGTGTTCACCTAGCTTAGAATTTGCATTTAGCATAGAACATGTAGGTTCTTCTCTTCAAGCGCCAAGATTAATCCTTGTAAAATTGCTAAAAAAAAACAAAAAACCTCAGAGGTTAATGAGGGAGAAAAGTATTTTGATGTTTTTCTTGTCTTGTACCCCACACCGGTTTCATTTTTTAAAAACCTTAATTAATTCTCAGAAAATGAGTTAAGTTCAGCTGAGAGAGAGGGCATTCCCAGCCTCTGTCACAGTTTTATACCCTCTTCTGTTTGAAGTCCTCCCATGTTTTCTTACCTCTTCTTCAATCTTGTTCCTTAATAAAGAAAATCTATTAAGGAGAAATAGAGAGGGAGATAACAGCTCCATAAGGTGTTCTGACTTCTACTGGCATTTGGAATTCTCTGCCTTGAAGTACCCATCAAATTTATTTATGAAAATCTACTCTGTTAGCCTTATTCATTCATATTCCAGCCTGTATATTCATTTCTAAAAGAAAGCACCATAGAGCTTTATTTATTTATTTATTTATTTATATTTATATTGCGATTTATATCCTGCCTTTTTCCTACAAAGGGCTCAAGGCAGCTTACATCCTCCTCCTCCTCCACCTTATCCCCACAACAACCCTGTGAGGTAGGCTGGGCTGAGAGTCTGGGACTGGCCCAAAGTCACCCAGTTGGCTCCATGGCTGAGCGGGGACTAGAACCCAGTTCGTCTGAGTCCCAGTCCCGTGCTCTTAACCACTACACCACACTGGCTCCAAAAAGTTTGCATAGAAGTCTCCTCTCTGGATTTGTGCTGTTATTTACAAATAACTCCATAAATTGCCTGAGATAGCTTTAGAATTGTGCAAGGATTTGAACTGAGGTCTTTGTGTTGCAGTCCAACAACTCTACCCATTGCAGAAAGGTACCCATTGCACAAAGCTACCCCCAACCAGCTAATATGCAAGGAATTATGTTTTAGGATGTAACTTAAGCCGTAACAGCAAAAACAACAGCAACAACACATGTTAGTAACAGTGCAAATATGGGAGCCATTGTGGTGTAGTGACAGCTGGACTGGGACTTAGGAGACCTGGGTTATAGTTCTCACTTTCTGTGAAGCTTCACTGGGTGAATTTGGGCTGGTCATGGACTCTCAGCTGAACCTACCTTACAGGGATTTTATGAGGGTAAAATGGAGAGAAGGAGGATTATATAAGCCACTTCCAGTTCATTACAAGAGGAAAAGAGGCAGGATAAACGTCATGTAATAACAATGTACAGGTCTACTCAAAAGTATGTCCCATTGAGTTCAGTGGTGCTTACTTCCAGGTAGATGGGTCTAACATTTCTGTCTTAACCTTTTTCATGCTATATTTAATTTCCTTCCTAATAACATACTACAACGTAAACACATATTTTAATGCAAGGCATGTTCCGTTTAAAACTACAACAAACAAAATGTCACATATTGGGGAATTACAACTTTGGAAGTGACAATTTTGAGGAAACCAGGGACAGGCAACCGGTACCCTTCAAATAATATAAACAGCAGCTTCCAGAATTTCTGACCACAGCAGTGCTAGCTGAGACTAATGGAGGTTGGAGTCCATAACAGTAGTCTTTGTGATAGGTGTGTGTGTGCAGGATGGGACTACATGCTTTAGCTTACTGGTTAAAAGTGCAAATTACAAGCCAGAAAACCCAAGTTCAAGAATCTGTTTGCCCCACTTGGCACAACCCTATACATGTTTGGACAGAAAACAGTTGTACAGCTCTCAGCATTGCTTTACTTCCCAACATTCCCAGGTGTGCTTGCAGTTGAAGGAATCCTGGTTGTTGTACACTTTTGTTGCTGTCTAAACATGTGTAGAGATTGCAACCCTGACCAAGCAACTAGGCATCAGCTCCAGTATCAAACATGTTGCATGTAATCCTAACCTGTTTCATGAAAGTAATGATAAACTCTAACTTACTTTTGAGGGTTGCTGAGATTATTCATGTAGCTCATTCCAAGACAGAAATGACACATTGTCAAGATTGACAGTTCAAGCAATTTTAATTTTAAAAATTTTCAGTTTTTTACATGCGAGTGTACCTGTGAACTGCTTATACAAACATGTCTGTCTATGACACCAAAGTTTTCATGTAAGTATCTATTTGCCCTTCATCTCTAGGCATCATCTGGTCCCTTGGAGGTGGTTTTGATATTTGTTCTGACAGTCATTCTGTGATGACAGAGGAAGGGACTCCTGGTTAGTTTTTTTAGAACCAGTGCTACACATCATATACTTCATGTTCATTGTGCTTTATGTTTATTACTTAGTTAGCCTCTTGATAATTGTTATTTAGTATTTAAGATTAAAAATCTTCTATCAGTTGAAATGTCTTTTACATGCAGAGGGTCTTTAAAAATCAGTATCTAGTTGAAAATGCTTCACTGGGACCTAATTTGAGGGTGTATACACCTAATTTTAAGCATATTCAAGGCCACTGAAATGGCACTGAAAGGCCATTTTATTTCATTAAAATAATTTTTAATGATTTTTTTCCCCATGGTAGCCACTGAAAGCCAAGCCTGTGAATAAGATTCAAGAAAGGTGGTGCAATGGTTTTCAGTCAAATTTTCAGTTAACATGGTCCTGAAAGCCCATTTCAGTCACATTGGTTGCATTCACACTTCACACTAAGATATCCTGCAAATAATCTGCATAATATGACCCTGACAACACAGCTCCCCCCCTTCTTCCCCCTCATTCCTTCAACTAATATTCCAGTGTTTTTCATGGTAGAACCTGTGTTATCATCCTGTTCCTCTGACATCCCTGACAGTTCTAAAAATATTTATCTTCTCTGGATTAGCTTTTGAGAATCACAACCCCCCCCCCTTTTTGGGGGGTACACCTTCTTGCTGCTTGCCCTCTGTTCAACGGTGCTTTTCAATTGACAGCTAGGGAATCTGTCCCTGGCAAATATGCACACATTTGCCTGTATGCGGTCATGCTTTGTCAATCATGTTTCCTATTGCACTTCTGTACTATGCTTTCTAGTTGAAGTTTAGAAGGAAATTGACCAAGCAATACTGGACAGCCATAAGTGTGCACTTGCAAAAGACAGACAAGATCATTATTATCATCAAATGCAATTCCACAATTCCTTAGTCCTGTTTAATAAAACAAAATATGGTAAACCATATTTTAGTCTCTCTCTAAACTGCCACTTGGCCATCAGTGGAGAGGCTGTAATAAGTGTCAGCAAGGCTAAAACTGTGAACAGTGGCAAGAGTCTTTTTGCTGCTCTTACTGAGTTACTCAAAAACCAGTCACTGCAACTGATTATAAAATTGTTCTTCCTGGTTTGGATGACATGCCAACCCATCATAGTTCATACAATGCCTAGAATAAGCCATTGGTTGTCAGGGTAGCTTATTGCTGGAGAATAAGCCACCCTGTGGGAAGTAGTCTAAGTTTGGTTGACACAACTGACCATTGCTAGTTACCTGTGATAGCAAACCAAGCCATCATCTAAAAAGTAGACACCATTGTAAATGCAAGACTGAACTTGGAATGAAATATCTGGTCATTGGGCTGTAGAATCAGTTATGCAGTTGTTATGATACGTGTGTTTTTCCACAATGACTCAGAAACAAAGTTGATTGTAGTTAGGGAACATGAGCTGTTATGGTCAGAACATTTTATACTGTGGCCATTTTTACCTTGTGGCCCTGATTTTTACTGTTTGCTTTTGTTTCAAGCAATGTCAAGGTTGAAGGGGTGGAGAAGGGGAAACTATAGTGCTACTTTTAACAAAATATACATAAACATTTGTTCTAACTTTCCCCTGGCGGCACGTTACATCCTGTGTGCTTTGCTTTAAATGAAGGCTATCCAATACGTTGTGTTTTCAGCACGAAGCTTTGAAATAACTTAGTAGGTGGTACATTTCCAGTTTTTTTTTTTAAAAGCTTGACATCTAGTTT